CTCTGAGGAGGCATGGCATCTCCTGCGATTGTGGAGAACACAAGTTCTTACGTTCTGGACTAAGCTCAGCGGGCTTTACAGTTAGATTGATGGGTCTGGGTGTCACCGGCGCAGGCAAGCACCGCGATTATGTCCTTGGACAACAAGCACCTGGATGGAGTACGTTGTGTTGCGTCCTGTACGGGATTTGTAGAAACAGGTTAGAGGACGTTGACGGCCCTGCCCTGCAACCCACTGCATCAGGTACGAAATTAGAAAAGGGTACGGGCAGGGACCTCAGGAAAGAAGCAGCAGATGCATAGGCTGCAGGGAAGGACCCTGCGTCTTGCGTGTCTCAAAAAGTTTACAGAGCATGTCTTGCAGGCCTCTTCAGGTCCGGCTAGCCAATGCCTCTGCCTCATCTGGCAAAGGCAAGTCTTATCGCGCGCGCCCAGGCGGCATTCAGAGATCACTTCAGATGCAGGCGTGTTCAGCCATATCAGGATGTTGACGCCGTCGCAAGCAATGTCACGTCCGCCATCAGAACACGTTCCTGCGATGATGCTAGCTGTGCCAATGCCATGGCCAGATGCCAAGGTGACGGAGCAAAGCTTTGCAAGCTCCTTGGTGTGACTTGCACACTACGGTAGCAGCTGCGCCTCCGATACTGATGAAGCATGGGAGCATCGCACCAAACACGCAATTGAGGTGGCCCCTGAATCACCTCCTCAACGCGGCTGAAGAAAGTGCAAGATGTCCACGTGCAGGCATTCATCGCTCCTTGCTCTGTCGTGTCGAAGCCTTCGAGCACTAATCCGGACTCTAGATTTTGCAAAGGTAACCAAGAGAGAGGCTAAGAAGGCTACCTGCCACATCCGTGGTCCCGTCATTGAGGGCTTCGCCTTGACTTTCATGGAGATGCCATGCAATGCCAGAAAATCCAGCTCCTGCCGAAGCTCTCAGACAGCCGAGATAAAATGACCAGTTAGAACGTCTAAAAGCTCGGGACAACAACCACCTGACTTGTTCAGTAGTGAGCCTCGCGATGATTTGGTTTCATTTCTGAGTGCTTGGCGCAGATTATTTCCGATGTGTCACTCTGAGACGCGTAGTGGATCCCATGCATTGCCGCGGAAACGTATTTAAAACTGAGCACCACCACCTATTCAGCCGGAGCATGCAAGCAAGGAGAGTGTGAGAGTCAAAAAGCATAAGCAGCGAAGCCGGATGCGCAAGAGATGAGACGCTTGGTGGGAGGGCCAATAACCGAGCCGCTGCGGCGAGATGCACAGGCTGCCTGGTAAATTTGCATGGGTCTCTGGCGCGGTGTCACCCGCCATCTAGGCAAGAGGAGTATGTGCCCTCATGCGCATCTCCAGCGATTCGCATCGCTCGGTGCAGAAGCCAGAGGGCAGAAAAGATAGCGCTTTCGCAATTGCGATGCGATGAGATGATGGCATTTGTGTTGCGGTTGTAGTTGTAGAGGTAAGTTGTGATGAAGGTACCGGTAGAGTTCAGAACATAGGGTTTCCGCGGTCTTGTTCACAGCCGGTGTGGCATCGGTTATTACTTTGGCCCATGGGTGATTTGTCCAAGACAGTTGAGGGAGAAGTCGGCTGTGACCGAAATCTGCAAGTGGATCAGGTGAGCTTGGCATTGTCGCACTGTACAAGACGGTACATTTTGAATTGCTGTGGGTCGATGCACGAATCTTGGCATGCTAGGGGATCCAAGACAAGAGTTTCCTCGCTGTTTGCAAGGCATTCTGTTTGGAGCCTGCCGTGGATGTGCTGCTATCCAATCCTGTCCCAATGCTACCAAGAGGCCGAAGCCGTGTTTCACCAAATGACGAGGTTAGGAGAAAGTAGTTCGGAGTCGCCGTGCACCGGCTGCTCCAGAGGCTGCTCAGCTCGGGTTTCTTGTTTCCATGCTTGACGTGATAGAATGGGCTGACTTGGTCTTTTTGAGCTGCCGAAGGTTCAGCCTCCCTGCCATGAGGTGGCGAGGGCCGCCCCAATTCTTTGTCAAAGCGTCCTTGTGCTCGCAATAGGAGTTTCTAAGCAGAACGCTGCGCACTTCAGTCATCAGGGGTGTCGAATCTCGAGGCTTCTCGTTCTCTTGGTCTTGCGCTGGTCGACTGCCACTGCTGAAACCACAGTGAATGGTTGCGCCTCGGCATGCCTCGGCTTTTTATTGCTTGGGCATGGGAGCCTTGCCGCGGCAATGCACGCAGCCAGTTTCAACGGATGCTTGTGAAGCCGTCTAGACACTGGGCGATAAAAGTTGCAGCTCATGAAAGCAAGGGATTCGAGCATGCAGGCATGGCTTCACAGGACGAAAAAAGCGTCTAAACAACATACATAAGGCATGTGAAGCCCCAAGATTGCGAGTGTCGCCCACATGAGAGGGCTCAGCACCCCCCTGCCTCGATCGGGAAGGCAAAGAGGTCTCCCTGCTCCAGCACGGAAAGCAAAACCACGGAATAAAGGTAGAGACAAAACTACTCGCGAGGGGCTCGTTTCCACAATGCCGACATGCAAATGTGTCGGAAGCATTCCACCAGGACTTGCTCGACATGCATGCCACCCTGGTTTGAACGCTCGAGCGCTTCGACCGGTTTTCTCAACCGGTGCGCTGCCATCGGGGACTGTTCACTTTCGCGACCCAGCTACGCCATCCTGGCAGAGCGAGCAAATAAGATTGCCGAGCTTCGGTACAGAATACTACGTTGCATGCTGGCTGCGATCGAAATGCCTGAGCTTGTCGCCTAGAGGCGGTATGTCCGTTGTGCCTATAACAGCCCTCCTGTTCGGACTGCCGGACTGAAACCCAAGCGAGCCGATGCGTCGAACGCTGCTTTGGGATCGAGGTCTCTGCAAAGAATCGTGGAGATGCTAAGCTGCACTTGATGTGAGGAATGCTGTTCACGATCTGCCAAAGCTCTGCTGAGGTTTTCTTGGCCCCTTGGCTGCAAGAGGTGGCTTTGCAACCAGGAGTGTCACACTGGGGGGCCGTGGATGTCTGCAGCAGCAACTGAGGCTTCTTCGTAGGGTATTTATGGCTGTGAAATGGAGTGACACGACCCAAGCAGATCAGAATCCCGGAGTTGCAGAAGGTCAAGAGGCAAGACAAAACGCATCATCTTCTCATTTCGCTGGCCCGAAGTCTTCGAAGGCCTTTGAGGTCAAACCGGGATCAGATACATGCGTGCGAGTTGGTGTGGGCCATGGAGCACGGCAAGAATATTCCACGTGGGCTAAGGTGACCACTGTTCGAACTACTGTTGCAATCCTGACGCTTTGCTGAACTGTTCATGTTGCGCCTTCACTCATGTTTTCCTGGACAGAGTTTGCTGCTGACAGTCGCAGTCAAGCTTGAGTTAGAGTCAGCCAGAGCCCCCTGTGAATTCTCCATCGCAGTCGGCATCGCACATCAAGCCCGCAATCCCGCAGCAATGCCTTGCAAAAAGGACAGCGACCCCGGCGGAAAATGGTGCTTTGTGGAAGACCAGATGTGCGAAGGTGATACATACGGTTACTGCCGGACAACCACGACAAGTCGGATCTGTGGTCGCATGCAAGGGGGCGAGGGAGAGAGTTCTTCCTTCAGCTGCTTGTTTTGTGACGTCAGGACCATATCGCGAAGTGCTGAGGGTTAGCCCGTGCACAGACTCGGATAAAAGCAGAGTTCCGAGAACAAAATATCCACTCAGGTCTCTGACATCGACAAGTACCACTACAAAGACCGAAACACTGGAGACCATCAGTTCTACATCATCAACAACCACGAGTTCCACGACCATTTCTGGCAGCAGAACAACAAGCAGTATCACAGGCACCGCCACCTCTACTACTTCTACTGGAACCGCTAGCTCTAGCACCAGCACCACCACGACCACCACCAGAACTTCCTCCACTGCCAGCATGTCCAGCACCAAGACAGCTAGCTTTACCAGCAGCACCACCGGCACCGGCACCATCACCACCATTACCAGAAGCAGCACCAGCACTGGCAGCAGCTCCGGCACCAGCAGCACCACCATTTCCACAAGCAGCACCAGCAGTGGCACTCGCACCGGCAGCACCACCATTACCACAAGCAGCACTGGCACCGGCAGCAGCACTACCATCACCACAAGCAGCACCAGCACTGGCACCAGCACTACCACAAGCAGCACCGGCACCGGCACCAGCAGCACCACCATTGCCACAAGCAGCACCAGCACTGGCGCCCACACCAGCAGTACTACCATTACCACAAGCAGCACCAGCAGTGTCACGGGCACCGGCACCGGCACCAGCGCCACCATCACCACAAGCAGCACCAGCACTGGCACCAGCACCAGCAGCACCACCATTACCACAAGCAGCACCAGCAGCACCACCGTTACCACAAGCAGCAGCGGCACCGGCACCAGCAGCACCACCATTGCCACAAGCAGCACCAGCACTGGCACCAGCACCAGCACCACCAGCAGCACCGGAACCGGCACCAGCAGCACCACCATTGCCACAAGCAGCACCAGCACTGGCACCAGCACCAGCAGCACCACCCTTACCACAAGCAGAACCAGCACAAGTGCCAGCAGCGCCCCCAGCACCAGCGACACCGCCACCACCACGGCCACCAGCAGAAGCCTCAGCCATACCACTACCACCGCCACGAAAGCCATGACCAGCACCAGCAGCAGCAGCAGCACCAGCACTGGCACCAGCACCAGCACCGGCACCACCACCACCACCCCCACCACCACCGCCGCCGCCACCGCCGCCACCGCCACCACCACCACCACCACCACCACCACCACAAACACCCACACCGTGACCACCAGCAGAACTAGCAGCACCACAGCTACAGCAACGGCGACAGCAGCAGCAGCAATAACAACGATGACGACCTCGACTTCGACAACCGGTATAGGTTTCCCAAGTACCACAAGCACGACACAAGTTGCCCTCGCAGCAAGTGCGACGACAACGGCCGGCATTGGTTCCGTCAGTCGCTCGTTTACGACCTCGACCATGGTCACCATTGCGGCGACCGTCAGCAGCACAACCCCGACCACCACAGCTGGCAGTCTGCGCATGACAAGTGCGACTTCCACATCACCTGGCCTTACCACTTCTATTGACAGCACAAGTGCCACTACTAGCACCACAAGAAGCAGCAGCCGCGATCCCAGCGCTGCCACCACCACTGCCACCATTACAGCCAACCTCAACAGCGCAAGCACCACAAATGCCATGGTAGCCAGTACGGTCAGCAATTCTCCGGGCACGACCGCAGGCGAGAGCACGTCTGTGTCTGTGTCGGAAGATTTAGATGATCACGTGGCGTCGTCAACGACGAGTGGCAACAAGCCCGCCGACACAACCGAGGTGGGCAGCACGTGCAAATCTTTATTCGTAGCACAGCGGTAGGGTACAGATCCTTGAAGCCAATCGTCATCCCCAGCCTTTGTCAAACCATGATTGACATGATTCGAGCAGGTGTCAACCTCCGTTTGGAACCTCGGTTGCGATCTCTGTACACTTGATTTAGACAGCACAAGGTGCTGTGGCGGACATGAACATAGGACCATGTCGGCGAGTTGCTGAATATTTCCAAACCAAGGGCCATCTGGCCGATTACTGTGCAGCACCCCCGGATCATTCTGTTTCCTAGTCTCCTCCGCCATGTCCTAACGAATCGAAGTGTGTGAGCTGTTTTGGCGAGGTCCTCGTGCATGGTCTTGCAGCTTTCGCATCCAGCGGCTTGACTTTGACGAACGACAGGATTTGTAGGATGTGCGAATTGGGGAGCTGGGTGCCCAGGTCGCGTCCTCTGTGGGTTTCCTTGCAGCTCTTCGTTGGGCTCTGGCGGAAGTCGCCGGCGTTGCTGAGGCAAGGTCCGGCTGGGTCTTCACTTCCTCTGAGAGAGACCTATTCAATGCAGGAAGCAGTCTCTGTCGACGTCGAGGGCGTGTCGGCAGCTCAGCAGTCTGTACCACGATATGGAGATCGGGAGCTTTGCGGTGATGGCATTCCCAGGGAGCTGAAGCCTCCAAAACACTGCGCACCGGCGAAACGGTGAAGCCAATGACGCGCTCCGCAACTGTCCGAGACCCTCTAATGATAAATCACACCTGACAAACAAGCAAGTACGAGAGCCATTATAAGCGTGCAAGGTGGTGGGCGTCACAACAACCGTGCAAGAAAGACATCAAAAAAGCTGATTAGTGATTAGTGTCAGGCTTCTGAACCAATTCAGGTTTGCGGAGTGTGGACGTCGACTTCAGCAAGAACTCGTCAACATGTTTGAGATAGTCACCGGCAGCGTGCTAAGTTCTGCGTTCATCTGCCGGGGAAAACTGTGCGTCGTATCTGATCAGATAAGTGCAGCCAACAGGTTACGAGATCCGTATACCGACGTCTGCGACACTGGACCACGATTCCGAAGAGATGGCAGAAAAGGCGCTCGCGCACTGCAACACATGCGGACTCTATGTATGCTGCAGCTGCATACGGACAAACACGCGAACGTGTAAAGACAATGTTAGAACTGGCGCCAATCTGCACTTGCAGGTGCGAGCTGCTCTCAGCAGCGCGACGAGGACAGACATGGCGACCAAGCTCAAAGAGGCCCCACTGCCCCAGCTTTCGCGACCGATGGCAGTAAAGAGAATGCGCCACAAGAAAGGCGTTTCTGTCGCAGCCGGAACTGGCAGAAGTGGCCGTGATGGTGTCCATGATGGGCGAGCCGATGCTGGAGGTAAGGGAAAGTGGAACCGCCAAGCACGCCACCCTGAAATTGCAAAGCCGCTAGGTTCTGCAGACAACTCCGGCGGGAGCCTTGTCCAGCGGCACAGACTCGAGGTATCCCAGTGCCCTGGCTGCTCAAATTCTGTTTCATGGTTGAGGTCATGGAGAAGGGCGCTAATCGTAGGGCAGAACAGCAGACATTTTCGGACGTATGGTCTGAAGGCCCAAATGCTTCAAACTATTTCTACTACGAGGCCCTCAAGGGAGGAGCTTTTCCAATTGGTTTTGCATTTTCCTCGGCCTGACTGTCATGGACTCTGCTTCTCGTGTTGCCCACCCTTATGGCAGCCTCTTCACACTATGACTGCCCCGACATCTCAAGAAAGCCTGTCTCCGAGCCTGTCTCCCTTCGGTCAGCTTTGGGTGAATATGTATGTTTTGGAGTGGCAACGATTGTTTCGTACATGATTTTGTTTCATGCGTCTCCTCCCGTAAGGGCTCTCTTTTTCCCGGACACTGTGATGCTTGTTGAAATTATTGGTCGGGTCGTGCCGTTGCTCAAGATGCTGTAGCTTTCATCTTGTCCACTCTCGGGTGGTTTGCTTCGGTTAATATCGCCTTGTCCCCAGATGAGGTCTCGTGCCAGAGGCTGTAACGATTGGGAGCGCAAGTGCTTCAATTCTGGCAAGCGTTGCTCTTATTCTTTGCGGCTCAGTCGCACACATGCACTTTTGGCGCTTCCCTCCGCCGGGGAACATCACTTCCTAGTTCTTGATCAGTAAATGGGGGCGGGGTGTTGTTGAAGTGCAAGTTGCATTGCGGTTTGTTTTTGAAAAGAGTTTAAGCTGTAGTGGCCAACGGATCAAATCTTGGTTGGCGTTGCATGCGCCAGATATCTGCCAGATATAGGCTGTTTGGAACCGGGCGCCTGACTGCACAAACACTGCACGAAGGTTGGCGACGGAGTGGCAAAACCATCAAGACTCCAACATGCCCTCGACATAGCAGGAGTGGACAAAGCTTAGCATCGGGGCTGCAGTAAGCTCGGGGCTGCGAGTTCAGCTTCGAAGCTTGTGCGCATGGCATGGCCACCAAGCGACATGCTTGAATGCAGCACAGGCGTCTTTCGTGGGTGTCTCGCCAGCAGACACCAACGCCACATCGATGCAGTCGAAAGACGCCGTGGTAAATGCGACGAGCACCTGCAATGAGCAGTTGCCTGCGCCTTTGCCAGCAATTAGTCGACAAGCAAGGTTGCTTACAGTTGTTGCCAAGACACGAGGAAGCTGTGCACCAGTCGCGCAGCAAGCGATCGCAGTCGGAGAGACCCGACTGCACTCAATCTGCATTGGTGCTGGAAGCTATTCTTAGATACACTTAGAGCTGCAGCTCAGCAGACGAAGCTCCAGCACCTGGCTGTTGAAACTTAGGCCACAAGCAGAGAGTTGCAAACAGGTCTCGAGCTCGGAGGACTCGCTTCGAAACAATCCCTGCTCTGCATCTTTCTAGATCCCCGATTGGAGGTGGACTCCCCTCGCTCAGCCCGACGCAAAGTGTGGCGAGCAGTTCCCATCCTGCGCGGGGAGCATGCTGACGAAGAGGCAAGTGGCCATAGCTTAACACATATGAAGTTGCCGAGGTGTTCGTTATTTTTTTTCGCAAGCTGCGTCCACAACTTGCCCACACAGAGCTGGATCCTCCATGATTTGCCCCAGCCAAGTTCTTTTCCCGAGGCTCCCAGGAAGAGTCGTGCCAAGCGAACAAAGGCCGCGGTTGAGGGCATCAAGAACGTTTAGGCCTTTAGCGACATGCGCGCGATCCTGAAGCCAGAGGCACGCCGCCTGGTGGCATCGCCCCAGCCGCTCACGCTGCAGAGTGTAGTGGTGGAGGATACTGTCCAGGCCAATGAAGCCAGCGTTGCCTGAGCCTGGATTTTGGCGTAGGTCTTGGTGGTGGGATATGCTGGCAAGGTGCTTCCTCCCACAAAAAAGCCCACACGGCGCCACGTAGCTGCACGTTATGGTGGGCAATGTGCTGTCCGGCTTCCCACTTTGTGCCGCCGCTGCATGAAACAGAGGGGCGCTTTTCTAGGCTGAGGGCCTGTAGAGCCGGCTGAGCCTGAGCGTTGCGCAAGGAGGAAAGCGCAAGCATTAATGTACCGCAACATGGTTCCTGTATATCCCATAGTACCATAGTATCGCGGCCTATGGACATGCTAGGTGCCTCCTTGGCCCTACCGGAGCTCAGCAATTGAAAGACCGCAGTTGGAGCACATTATCAAAAGGCGGCTTGTGTCGTTTCCGAGCGTTTCAGTGACACGATGCCTGAAAGAGTTCCGCGTCGATAGTGCCAACTAGCACACGACAGGATTACAGAATTTCAGTTTACTCACAACCGTCAGCAAAGAGCAAAGCTGCAACTCAGAGTTGAAAGCAGCCCGCCGGCATGACACAAGCGGCATGGAATTGCTCCTAGCATCCGCGTATGCAGTCCAGGGGATGAGCTTCAATTTCCCGTGTCGTCAGACCGCGTGCTGGCAGAACTTCAAAACACTCTAAGACTCTAAGACTCTAGCCCCCTAGACTTGCATTTGGAGTTGATGTGAACACGCGGGCCGCTCCAGCCACTTGGATTGCAGACAGCGAAACCACCGAATTCGAATCCGAACTCGAATTCGTGCAAGAGCGCGAGCCAGACCTGAAGAGAGGCGCAACAGGAGGGCTGCCCACCCAGAAAACAGAGATGTTGCTACAGGTTTCTTGCGCAGCGTCGCGCATCCCCAACGATATGTATAGTGCCACCGTATATGAGAGAGGTGCTGCTACGACGCTGCGCCCTCGAAGAAAGTCTCTTAGTTTCATGTTGGTGAGGATTGCGGATTGACAAGGAAGTACCTCGAAGAAGGGCCTGAAGCGATTGCAGGCCGCAAAGCCGTCACCAAAAGACTGCAAA